CTGCCTGGGACCTCCCTCCTTAGGGTCACCAGAGTAACTAGAAATTAAGGCATTTTGAAGCTGTGTCTGGAGTTTATCCCAGGGAGTGGGAGACTTTTGGCCTGAGCCTCACATTCACAAAGAGCCTCAAATGTAGACTTTGAACTTTCCGTTTTAAGAAGTTGGGTGTACATTTGCCTAGAGACACAGCCACTAAAGTCATCTCCCAAAACTTTCAGTTTACCATTTACACTGGAGCCTTGTTACAACGTTCTGCACTTTATAAACCCTATGCTATAAGAGTATGACTATCTAAATTATATTGCTTTACAATGTTTGTACATTAAAAGCATTCATTTGTTAAACGTAAGTACTTGAAATTATGCCACAATTTTGTAACCTTGCCTCTTCCTTACTTTTTTTATACACTGCTTCTCAATTCGAGAAGTTGAGGTAGACTGGGCTTTGAAAGAGCCTGACTATATTAGATCAACTTTGTACTTTCTTGGCTATAAAGTACCAAAGAAGTAGACTCTGCAGTATTACACAAGTTGCTGCTGGGCTCAGAGGCTACTGGGCCCCCAGCACACAAAGGCCCCCTTGCCTTCTGGTTTAACAAGGCTTCCCCAAGATACATACTTGCAAAGCACAGTCCTTCCTGATTCCTCAAGAAAGAAGGAGAACCTGTGGGAAGGGTAGCCTAGTGCAGGCATAGGTATGAATGCCCCAGTGGCATCACTGGGGGGTATGGAGGTGCAGACCACTGGGGGACATCATCAGAAGGAATGACACCAACATGACGGTCTATAAAATTTTGTGCAGCGTTTCAGCAGAAATTATTATTTTTTAAATAAAAATACCCCTGTAAATAGAAGAGTCGATGCTTTTGAGTTTTGGTGTCGGCAAAGAATGCTGAGAGTACCATGACTGCCAGAACTAACAGGTCTGTCCTGGAGGAAGTGCAGCCGGAATGCTCCTTGAAAGTGAGACTGGCTACACTTCGTGTCTCACCTACTTTGGTCATGTGGTTAGAAGGGCCCATTCCCTGGAGAAGGATGTCATGCTGGGTAAAGTGGAGGGTCAGTGAAAAAGGGGAAGGCCCTCAATGAGATGGGTTGACCCAGTGGCTGCAGCGATGCGCTCAGGTATAGCAGGGATTGTGAGGCTGGCACAGGACCGGGAAGTGTTTCATTCTGTTGTAACAGGGTCACTATGAGTCAGACAGAGCCCACTCAACGCCACCTAACAACAAAACTAAAACTCTCTACAAATTTTCTTTTTGAATCTTCCAATGCACTCCAATCAGAGCTGTCATTATTATCCAATTACAATGACACTTCAAATCACGTGGTTTCATCTGCATGGGTTACAAGCACCCATCGTTGTTCTCTTTGCTGCTGGTGTTTTTATAGGCACTGATTCTGTCAAATTTTCTGGTGTTTTAGCTACAATATTGTGGTAAGTAATATTTGTGAACCTCTATCAATAACTTTTTAGGATAAAGTAATAATTTAAGGAAAAGAAGGCAAAAAATCAAAAAAGGCCTGCATTCAGTCACTAATGTGTTAACTAATAATGTTGTAATTCAACATAGAACGAGTTTACAAAACGATTTTATCAGTAGAGCTTTCCCTTGCCTTCGGAGCCTCCCCGTCTGTCCTCTCGCTCTGCCCATGGGCTCCCTTGGCCTCCTACATCCCACCTTTGACACCTCAGAGTAACTTTGCAGTCAGATCTTCACAGACTTGGTTCCAGAGTGTGAGGCCCTTCTTGAGTGCTAGGGGAATGGGGTCGAATCCATTGCCCAAAGCCGAGGGGGCCCGCGTACAGATGTGGAGAGGAGACAAGGACCTTAGAGCCAACAGAGACAGAAAGCATCTCCCTAGAGCTAGTGTCCTGAACTTGAACTTCTCACCTCCTTAACTGTGAGAGGATAAATTTCTATCTGTTAAAGCCATCCACATACGGTATCTCTGCTACAGTGTTGCATTGTTATATGCATCCAGTCAGACCAACTCATATCGACCCCTCCTTGGGTGTCCGAGGCGGTATCTCTATGGAAGTAGATTGCCCCATCATCCTTCCGAGGAGTGGCTGGTGGGTTTGAACCGGCAGCCTTCTGGTTAGCAGTCAAGTGCCTTAGGCACTATGCTACCAGAGCTCCCTCTGTTACAGTAGATAACGTGAGTAGTGTGATTCGAGCTGCTTGTGGAAATCAAACAATTCTCATGATAGCTGATGATCATTGCCCTGCTAAGGGTTCCTCTTCTTCAAGAAAAATGACAGCAGGAAGTTCTGAGGTAAAATTAAGCATAGCTGGCCCAGGGAGCGATGAAAAAAATTGTCAGCCTCAATGTCAGGCGACTTTGACTGGAGTGTGGGTCTGCCACTCAGCAGCTGGGTGCCCATGAGCGAGGCTCAGCCTCTCTGGGTTTCCCCTTCCTCATCTGCAGAATGGGAATGGCACTACAATGTTGTCCATGAGAGGGTTAAGTGAGTGTATGGATGAAAACACTGTGACCTGTAAGTGCAAAGAGAATGATACTAAAAGCATTTTCAGTATCGAAGGCCAGGAAAACCAAAAGCAAAGCAAGCCCCCACGTGTTGTAGAAAAGAACTCCTCCACAGGGTTTTCTTGGCTGTCATCGTTACCTAAGCCAATCGTCAGGCCTGTCTCCCGCGGAGCTGCTGGGTGCAGGGGGTTCGAACCACCAACCTTTAAGGTTAGCAATAGAGCACTTAACCATTTGGACCACCAGGGCTCCTTTCATTCCTCTTAAGGGCTGAATAATATTCCATTACAGATAGAAACCCACTGCCATTGAGTCCATTCTGACTCAAAGCAATCCCTCATTGGGTTTCCAAGGCTGTACAAATTTTTACAGAAGTAGATTGCCTCTTCTTCCTCTCACGGAGCAGCTGGTGGGTTTGAACCACTGATCCTTATTCAATGTCCAGCTCTCACATGCATATGAGGCGATTGAAAATATGGTTTGTGTCAGGCGCACCTTAGTCCTCAAGGAGACATCTTCGCTCTTCAGCACTTGAAAGAGGTCCTTTGCAACTGATTTGCCCAGTGCTATATGTCGTCTGAGGAGCTCTGGTAGCATAGTGCCTAAGGCACTTGACTGCTCACCAGAATGCTGGCGGTTCAAACCCACCAGCCACCCCTCGGAAGGAAGGTTGGGCAATCCTACTTCCGTAGTGATACTGCCTTGGAAACCCAAGGAGGGGTCGCTATGAGTCGGGGCCGACTCGACGGCATATAACAACAACAACAACAACACGTCGTCTAATGTCCTGACTAATGTCTAATGTCCTGACTGCTGCTTCCGTTGACGTCGATTGTAGACCCAGGCAATGTGAAGTCTTTGCAGCCCAATGCCTTAACCACAGTGCCACCAGAACTCCTATTGTAGGGATATGGCACATTTTTATTTATTTTCATCAGTAAATGGCTATTTAGATTGCCTTTAATTTTTGTCTATGAAAAATGTTGCTATGGACGTTCATGTATAAGGTTTTGTGTGAACATGTTTTTAAATTCTCTTGGGATATAGCTAGGAATAGAACAGCTGGGTCACACGAGGATCCTTGGTGGTCCAATGCTGAAGCCTGGCTGGTAAAACAAGGCAGGTGATTCTAACCCACCGGCCTGTCTACAGGAGACAAGAGCTGATGGTCTGCCCCCATGAAGAGATGACGGCCTAGGAGACCCTACGGGGGCAGTTCCACTCTACTCTACAGGGTCACCGTGAGTCACAATCACCCAATGCCACTTAACAATACTATGATAACTCTATGCATAACATTCTGAGAACTTGACAAAATGTTTTCCCCAGCAGCTGCACAATTTTATATTCCCACCAGCAGTGTATGAGGTTCCAATTTCTTTACAAGTATTTATTTCTTATAAATATTTGTAAATATAAAGAAAACAAAAATCCTCACAACTGGACCAATAAGCAGCATCATGATAAATGGAGAAAAGATTGAAGTTGTCACAGACTTCACATTGCTTGGTTCTACAATCGACGCCAATGGAAGCAGCAGTCAGGACATCAGACGACATATTGTTGTTGTTGTTGTTGTTGTGTGCCGTCGAGTCAAACCCGACTCATAGCGACCCCTCCTTGGGTTTCCGAGGCAGTATCACTACGGAAGTAGGATTGCCCAACCTTCCTTCCGAGGAGTGGCTGGTGGGTTTGAACCGCCAGCCCTCTGGTTAGCAGGCAAGTGTCTTAGCCACTATGCTACCAGCACTGGGCAAATCGGCTGCAAAGGGCCTCTTTCAAGTGCTGAAGAGCAAAGGTATCTCCTTGCGGACTAGGTTGAGCCTGACAAAAGCCATGGTATTTTCAGTCGCTCAAATGCATGTGAAAGCTGGACAATGAATAAGGAAGACCAAAGAAGAGTTGATGCTTTTGACTTGTATTGGTGAAAAATGGTGAAAGTACCGTGGACTGCTGCTAAAAGAACAAATCTGTCCTGGAGGAAGTGCAGCCGGAGTGCTCCTTGGAAGCTAGAATGGCCAGACTTCGTCTTACATACTTTGGTCACGTTGTTAGAAAGGACCATTCCCTGGAAAAGGCTTGGTAAGGTGGAGGGTCGATGAAAGAGGGGAGGACCCTCAACGAGATGGATTGACACGGTGGCAGCGGGGATGGGCTCAAGTATAGCGGGGATCGAGGAGCTGCGAACCGCCAGCCTTCTGGTTAGCAATCACATGCCTTAGGCACTATGCTACCAGGGCTCCCCTGTAGCATAAGAGTAGAGTTTTGAACAGCTTCTCGCAAGCATTAGTTCATTTTACTTTCTTGTATTAAAGTGAAGGCTGAAAAACTTCTGAGCGCGCAAGCGCACACCCTCAATATAACTGTCCCTCTCGCCCCGCCCCGCCTCGCCCGCCCCGCCCCGCCCCGCCCCCTCCAGGACCTGCCCACACACACGCTAGCCCTCCTCTCTGGTCCTCGCTCAGGCTCCGAGGGGCGGAGATATGGGTGTTAAAGATAGTAAATTACCAATCGGCGCGCGTCTTCGCGAAACGGTGCTTCTCACAGGCAGATTCAGCGTGTTGAGGTAGCCCATGTTCCAATCCTCACGCTGGGGGGGCGGGGCTGAAGGCCAGCGGCTCTGCGCAGAAGACCGCCCCGAAAGCACGTGATCTGGCTAGAGTCGGAAGCTGCAGAAGTGGTAGGGAGAGCTCCCTGTACCGAAAGCCTGCGATGGTGAGTAGCGACGCATGCGCGGGAGTACTCGCCGGGGGTTCAGCGTTCCTGTTCTCCAACCTTCTTGGGTGCACCTTCTTGGGCCTGTGCTCCACCTTCGCCCCAAGCCGCACCAGGACCTGGAGGGAATGGCGATGGGGGCGGGATTGGCGACACAGGGCTGAAGGGGGAGGGTGTGCTGGGCTGGGGAGTTGTCTACGGGAAAGGGGGCGGGGCACGAGGCGATCTAAGAGGAGAATCTGATGTGAGGGTCCAAGGGGGCTGCGAGGTCATCCTGAGGTATCAAAGGGGGGATGTGGGAGGCCGAGGGGACCCAGAAGGCCACGGAAAGCTCCATGTTGGAGCCCATGTAAAGCGAAGAGGGGCTAGAAGGGCCTTGGCTGGAGGGAGAGAAGGCCTGGGGGACCATCACCAACAGAAGGACCTGGGTTTTCATCTGACGGGTATCGAGGGCCCCTTCCTGCAAGCTTTTCACCGATTGCTGCTTTATTCACTAGACTTCTGCACTGACCCAGGGGCTGGAGCGAATCCCAGACCAGCTTGGTTACTTGGTGCTGAGCGAAGGCGCAGTGCTGGCGGTGCGTTCTGGGAAAGGGAGGGAACCCCTAAGAACACACGGCCCACCGTCTCTTCCAGTAGCGCCCATTGTACCCTAATTTGTTTTTATTCTTTGTCATTACCTAACAGCATGCCTGGCATATACTAAGTTTTCAGTAATAAAGTAATTAAAGTCTCCTACCTTTCTGAGATAAGAGGCTTAACTACCTTTACTAACCACCACTGGTCTGTCAGTTTGTCCTACTGTGGTGGCTTGCGTGTTGCTGTGAGGCTGTAGGCTATGCTGCCAGTATTTCAAATACCAGCGGGGTCACCCATGGTGGAAGGTTTCAGTGGAGCTTCCAGACTTAGACTCAGAAGAAGGAAGGGGCCAGACACTTCTCAAAGAATTGGCCAGTGAAAACCTTGTGAATAGCAGTGAAACACTGATGTATTAGTGGAAAACGTTATGAACGGCCCTGAAACATCGTACAGTGGCTGCAACAATGGGCTCAGGTATAGCAAGGATTGTGAGGCTGGCACAGGACCAGGCAGTGTTTCTTTCTGTTGTGCACAGGGTCACTATGAGTCGAAGCTGAATTGGCACCTATCAGTTTTACTAAAGTCCCAAGTTTGTTGATAACTGATATTACCTGACTTATTCTCAAGTATGTCTGTATTCTGTATTGAAGAGACTTTGTATTTTTGTTTCCTAGTAGAATACAGTGTTAGCACTCTAGACCAGTTAGAGAGACAAGGCTTAAAAGGTTGAAAGTTGAAAGCAACTTGAGTAATAAAGACTGTGGAAGGAATCAGCCCTTCATGTTATGTAATAACAAGGAAGCTTCTTTGGAGGGGGACATTCAGGTGGGCTTCAAAGGTTGGGTGGTTGTGAAGAGGACAAAAGGAAGGAGTTATGTTGGGGCTGGGGAGTGGACCTATTTGCAGACATGTGACACCAACCTGTCTGAATCGGTGGGTGTCCCATTAAGATTGGGAAAGGTTGTAGGGAAGAAGAATATTGTAAGGAGAAGATGAGATTGTGGAGGACTTCCAAAGCCAGGGTCACACATTTGGACTTAATCTTGAAGGGAATACAGAGCAGTTGAAGGCTTTTGAACAAGAACATGACCTGATGAAATGGTTTAGCAGGATGTTAGTGGTGTCAAGATGGACTGGAGGGTGCCGAGATTAGAAGCCAGGGCAGCCGCTAGGAAGGGGACTGGGCTGGTGGCAGTGAAAAGGAAGGGCAAAAGAGATTTAAAGGAGATGTGACCAATATGGTTCAAACCCATCAGCCGTTCCACGGAAGATGGGGCGATTTACTTCCACAAAGATTTACAGCCTCAGAAACCCAATGGGGGTTGGTATGAGTCGGAATCGATGACAGTGAATTTGGTTTTTTTTGTATGACTGGCTATAGGTAATGTAGGAGATATTTCTCCATCCAGTAAGACTTAGAACTCAAAAACCCAGAAGAATGATGGTACCTAAACAAACAGGAAATCAAGATAGAAGTCCATCAGGGAGGGTGGGGAGTAGGAATTCCAGTGGTTTGACTTTGAACATTGGATTTGATGTGGAGTAATAGCAGTTAAATGGTAGGAGAGGTTCTAAGCTTCTTGCCAACATTCTCACTTAATCCTCACAATAATTTGATAAGGTACTGCATCGTGCCTACTTGACAGATGAGGAAACTGAGGTAGAGAATGTCCAAGGGAGCAAAGCTCACTAACTTAACCTAGTGGGAAGCCCCATCAAGATGGGAAGAGGAAGTTGACGTAGTCACAAAAAAAACAGGAAGCCCAGGCCACTGTTAAGCACAGACCCAAGGGCTAGGTGGTAGGAAGGGGCTCAGGACAGAGGGGATGGTTGTGTCCCAGATTCTGCAAACAGGGCGAGAAATGGGAAGACTGAGAAGATGGAGCCTTTAACAGTCCAGTGGGCATTTTCAGGGATGGGTATTGGTTTTTGAGAATATGGTTGTATCAAATAGATGGGGGCAAGGAACAGTCAAGTTTCAAGGGGTTAGGAAAGAATGGTTGAAAAGAGATGGATAAGCGTTACTGGGGAAAGCCCAGTATTATAAGGTTGAGAAAAAACATGACACAGGGGGCTCTAACATCAAAGGGAGAGTGTAGGTTGGTTTTTCCAGAACTGGAGTAACCTGGGAATTTTGGAAATGGGGAGGGAGAGGTTGCAAATGCCAGAGGCAAAGTGACCGTCTGGGATTCCTTCCCAATTCTCTCCCCGATTTCTGCCCACCTCCCTCTTATCTGCACAGTCGTCTGGGGACCTGGAAAATGACGAGCAGGCCGCCAGTGCCATCTCTGAGCTGGTCAGCACTGCTTGTGGTTTCCGGCTGCACCACGGCATGAACGTACCCTTCAAGCGCCTGTCTGGTGAGCCCCAGCCCCTGGTGGTGGTGGTGGGGAAGGGGGCTCATCTCGGGCTCCTACTAACTCTCCACCATCACCTCTGGGCTCCCTGGTTTGGGTCTTCTTCCTGTGATCACAATTGAGTGTAAGAGGAATTAGTGGCAGCCTCTCACCTTTGGAGTCTTGAGCCTGTAGAATTTATGCGTGTGACCCCACAGAGACCATCGCACCACTAACTCCTTGTGTTCCCTTCCCTCTCCTGGGGCGATGGAACGGGTGTCTCCCCTCCAGTGGTCTTTGGAGAACACACGCTGCTGGTGACCGTGTCAGGACAGAGGGTGTTTGTGGTGAAGAGGCAGAACAGAGGCCGGGAGCCCATTGACATCTGAGCCTGCCAGAGGGGAGGCTGGAGAAGGCAGGCTGGGTCTGTGAGCCGCCTGTGAGGAGCAACACACATCTTCCACCTTCTTCCTGGCTTGCAGCTAGAACTCGGGCCTTCCACTCACCTGCTCCCTATCCAACCGGAAGGGCAAAGACTTGGGGATTTTGTTCACTGTTAAGGAGAGTGAGGGTGAAGGGTCCTCTTCCTTTGCTCCTTCCCTCCTAATAAACAAAAGATCTCATGTTCCCAGGCCTAGGAATATGTGTGTGTGTATGTGTGTCAGGGGTGGGAGTGTAGGGCTCATGCCTCGAGTCTGTCTGCCACCTTCCATGGAGAAAGTGGTGAAGCCAGAGGGGTAAGGCAGGGCCACCCTGGGCATTACACTCTGGGAACTGGATAGGAAGGGAGCGGAGGCGAGGATTCTGAACCTCTGCCCACTCAGTGTCCTCGGCTCCCTCTACCAACATACAAAGAGCAGTCGTTCTCCCTGGGTAGGCCTTTAATAGTCTTATTTCAGATGGAAGCAGTAGATGGAAAATAATTTACAGGACCAAAAAAAAAAAAAAAACCACACACACAACGTAAAGTGCTTTAGGCTGAAAACGTAAACATGAGGCGCGAGAGGAGGTCACCGAGCTAGCTATCTCCCTGAGCCCCAACAACAGGAAGGTCACTGCTGGGGGCCCCTTCACCATCACCAGCCTCTAAGCTCAGCCCTGCAGCTGGGTGGGGGGGAAATGTGAGGGGTGGGAAAGACAAGAGGAATGAGAACACTCTGTAAACAGTGAAAGGGCACGGGGCAAGGGAGCTCTATGCCCTGGCCTAGGGGTGGGGCCAGCCCCCCCACAGGAACTGGGGGCGGGTGGGGGGAATACTGTTGACTTGCACCCGCCCATTTCACAGCTTCTTCCCTGGTCCGGCGTCAGCAGACACAGACAGGTGGCTCTGTGGGGCCTCTTCACCCCACAGTGCAACCCAGGGGAGGCAGCAGCCTGGGAGGGAAGACCCCCTCCAGGGCTTCCCATTTCTGGGATTGTAAGAGGGCGATGAGCCGGCCTGATGCTACTTGACCGGCTCCACCACCAGGACCTTGCACTCGCGCTTGGCAATCTTGTCCAAAGAGAGCACAGCCTTGTCCGGGGGCAGGTAGAGGGGACGCCCGACAGGGGAGGCCACAGGAGGTGTGATGGCCCTTCGCTCCATCACACTGCCCGACCTGGGAGAGGGCGGAGGGGTCGGGGCTCCAGTCAGTCACCGGGCACCCCTCCCTGCTCCCTAGCTGGTTCCAGCCTCGACCGAGGCCCAGTGCCAGCCCACCTCCCGGTTCCGTACCTCATGAGGTGGCTGCGGGAGGGCTGTTGGTGGGAGAAGGACTGGGAGCGGCCTAGGCTAGCCTGGTGCCTCTCCACCAAGTCCCGGACAGCAGGACTGCTGGGGCTGCTCTTGCGAGACAGCGGCCGGGCCTCGGGCGGAGGGTGAGACACACTGGCCGTGAACTGCAGCTTCAGTTTCATGTGTTGGCTCAGCTGCGGGCGGCAGACACAGATCAGCATGCCAGCTCAGCTTCCCGGGCCCGGAGCCCCTTTCGGGTCACTTGACCCACTCGACAGGCCTCCGGCAGCTCTAAGGTTCTCCTCCCTCTGCCCAGCTTTTTAGTGCCACCGTTGAACTGCACCCACAGAAGCTAAGGTCTCTGGTTCCTCTACCCCAACACTCTGTATCATCCACTACATAGCCCTCCCCTCCCCAGCCCACCTCGAAGAGCCCCGTCCTTAGAGCCTGGAAGGCCACACTGAAGGTGAGTGCACTGCCCTTCCGGGAAAAGCCGAGGTTGTTGAGGGGCGTGTGGCAGACGATGGAGTCCAGGGCTGCCTGCATAGCCCGCCGTTCCTCCTCACACAGCTGCTTCCCTGGGGAAAGGGAGGGGCAGAAACAGGAACCAGTAAACACATCTGTACAGTGCCCCTCAGTTCGCACAGTCTCATTGGACCCCCCCCAACCATTCTCCGACGAGTGGCTGGTGGGTTTGAACTGCCAGCCTTCTGGTTAGCAGTCAAGTGCCTTAGGCACCACGCCACCACAGCTCTTCAACAGAGTACATGTTCTTTTTTTATAGACAACAGTGGCAGCTGTGTATGCTGAGGTCTGTCCTAACCCCTTACGCCAACTCAGTTAATCCACAAGACAACCCCATGAGGTCTTATTTTCCCCATGGTAGAGATGAAGAATTTGAGGTCCAGAGAAGTTAAGTAATTTACCCACGACCACACGACCAGCAGATGGGAGAAAAATCAAACAGGCCAGGAAGCCCAGCTCTAGTGCCTGCCCTTAAACTCACGCAGCCCCATGGCCTCTCTCAACTCCACATGTGCTACCGTGGAGACCACCCAGGTAGAGCTGAAGCAGCTGGCCTCAAGTCACCCACTTGGGCCGGCAGCAGGCTGCAGTGTTTTCACTGTCCTACGACTCCTTCCTTCCCCTCTCTGCCCTTGGGACACAGTCTCGGCCTGGGCGCTAACGCACCAGCCTGTGCATGCTCTGGGGTCCACACGAGCCTCACAGCGAGGAAGTCTTGGAGATTGTTCAGCAGCGTGTAGGTGACAGTGAAACGCTCGTAGGTCCGAATGGGAGACTCGCAAGCAGCGGTCATCACAAAGCACGGGCGGTCCAGGCGGATGCTAGGCAGACTGGAAGCGGGGAAAGAGGGGGAAGTAGGGTGTGTGTCAGGTAACAAAGGTGAACAGGAAGGTACTAGCAGGGGATCCCATACTCACCGGTAGTGGGTATAGATGCTCTGGGTGAAGGGCAGCTTCGGAGTGGACCACTGAACCACAGCAATCAGGGGGACTTCCAGGCCCTGCAGTGGGGACAAAGGACATCACAGGCATTAGAGTGCCCCCATCTTCTGTCCTCAACCCCCTCATCTCTCCCTCCCACTGCCTTTTTTCTCTGGAACACGCCAGCCTTTTATCCCCACCTCCTTGGCTCCTGGAGGGGGCTGCTCATCCCCTCTCAGCTGAAACAGGAAGTTGTGTTCCTCCAGGGCACTAAGCGGGCAGGGGAAGCAGCCGGAGGTACCGGGGAACCGACAGAAGGAGCCCATGGAGACTTCCCCGGACTGATGACTGGTTCGGAAGAGAGGGGGACAGAGTGTGACGTCTCCGTGCCAGAGCGCTCAGTGCCCTAGTCCCCGCCCCACCCCGTCACAGCCCAGCTTGTCCCCAGGACCTCACCAGACATTGTCCACCAGCAGCACAGAGCCGTCGGGCATGACAGGTAGATAACTGGCATTGAAGTTGGGAAGGATTCGGATATCCCAGATGGAGATTTCCTCCTGGGAGGAGCTGTTCAGCACTGAAGGAGGCAACCAGCTCAGTGCGGAGCATCTGGACTCCTCAGATCCCCCCTTTTCCCCAAGCAACCCACCTATCCCCACCAGCCAGCCCAAAGTAACTGCCACTCGGCCAAGGCCCTTGGGGCTGGCTAAGAACTGACCTACTCACCCTTGAGCACTGTCAGGTGTTTTCCAGCCACAGTGAACTGACGGCATCGCAGAACCGGAGGGGGCAGCAGAGTCAGAAGGGTGCTCACTGCCGGAGAAGGGGAGGGGAAGACATGGGGGACTGAGCACAGACCTCACCTCCAACTCACGCTTCTCATCTTCCTCTTCTCCCCAGCTCAGGTACTTCCTGTAGCTGCCCCTCCAGTCTGTCCCCCAAATTCCAGACTCTAGCCTTTCCCCTCTGCATCCTCCTCCCCACCTTGGGCCTTGAAAGCGCTCTGCTCGCCCCGGAAGGTCTCCCCAGGAGATCGGGTCTGCAGCAAGCGCAGGTAGCCTTGATCTCTGACCTCTGGTGCCTCAACCTCCCGCTTCCACACGGTCACTACAATCTGGGTACAGAGGGGACAGGACCACAGTCAAAAGAGAAAGAGACAGCAGCGCCTTGAAAAGGTGTTTGAATTAAGTCAACAACTCCACCCTTGCCCACCTTACCTTGGCCTTAGGAGTCCCTGGGGGCAGTCTGTCCAGTGAAACGGTGAGTGGGAAGATGACCTCATCTGTGGAAACGATGGGTTCCTCCACAGGCAGCTGGGGTTGTCAGAGAGGGGTGCACCGGTCAGGAGAGATTCAAAGAGGCAGTTTACCTCAGATCCCTTTAAGATCTGCAGTACATGGCTCTTGCCAATCCCTGTCCACCATCACCTGCCTCCTGCCTTTGCCAGTCCCCTATGTCCATCTCCCCTGGAGTCTCTGGCACCTAATGCCCCGCCCCTCAACCCTGTGAGGTCTCACCCCAAGTTCCTCACCGTGGTCGTTCCCCCTGAGGTAGCAGGGCCCGGGCCGTGGGTTAGAAGGGGGCTGCAGCCTCGGAAGAAGCCCCCACCTCCAGGGTCCCCACCCCCTGGGGGCTCGGGATCCTGGTCGCCGGTGCCACCGCCCCCGGGCGCCCCGCATCCAGCGCTGACTGAGGCCAGGGCAGCCAATGTGGTTGCCAGTTCTGCCCAGGCCCCACGGGAGCCCAAGCCTGGGCCGCCGCCGGCACCCGACCCCGTGCCACCCCGACAGCGCAGCACCAACAGGAAGCGGACAGTCTCCCCCAGGTACAGATGGTTCCGCCGAGGCAGCGCCCGGTACCGGCCCGGGTCCCCCGCCAGCTCCGCGCGTGGCGGCAGCGGTACGGCCGGGAAGTACATTGAGTAATCGCACTGAGACTCCATGGGCCCGCCGGGGCCCGGGCGGGGGGCGAGGTGGCCCGGGACCGGAGACCAGCACCGGCGGGCCCGCGGAGGACAAGAGGGGGCCGCTGGGGCGGATTCGAGGAGCCTGACACTCGAGGGGTGCTGCGCGCGGCCAGGGCGGCCCAAGAAACCAGCCCGGCCCGGGAACCAGGGCAACGAACCCGGAACCGAGAGCCGTTGAGGCGGTAACCCAAGTGCGGGATGGAATGACTGGCGAGAGACCGGAAGCGGAAGAAAAGGGGTGTGGCCTCTGAGGCCCCGGAAGCCGTGGGTGACCCGAGCGTGGAAGAGAGGGGCGGAGTTCGGCTGGGCTGGGGCTGCTATGAGAATTTAGCAGAGCTCTCGGTTCCTCGCTGCTCGACAGACAGCCGCATCCTCAAAACACGATGGTGCAGGTCAGAGTAAACGGCTTTGGCCGTATTGGGCACCTGATCAGCGGAGATGCTTTTAACTCAGGCAAAGTGGAGGTTATTGCCTTTAACGATCCCTTCAATGACCACAACTACATGATCCACTTGTTCCAGAATGACTTCCTTGGCAAGTTCAGTGGCACCGTCAAGGCTGAGAACGGGCAGCTTGTCTTCAATGGGAAGCCCATCTCCCAGGAGCGAGATCCCGCCAACATCAAGTGGGATGACGCTGGTACGTTGTAGAATCCACGGATGTCTTCACAAGCTTGGAAAAGGCTGGGGCGCACTGGAAGGGAGATACCAAAAGGGTAATCCTCTCTACCCCTTCTGCCAGCGCCTCCCTGTTTGTGATGGGCATGAACCACAAGAAGTATGACAACTCTCTCAAGATTGTCAGCAATGCCTCCTGCACCAATTGCTTGGCCCTCCTAGCCAAGGTCACCCCTGGGAATTTGGCATCATGGAGGGACTCATGACCATTGTATGCCATCACTGCCACCTAGAAGACTGTAGATGGCCCCTCTGGGAAACTGTTGTGATGGCCAAGAGGTTGCCTAGCATATCATGCCCACAACTACTGGTGCTGCCAAGGCTGTGAGCAAGGTCATCCGTAAGCCAAATGGCACACTGGCATGGCCTTCCACGCCCCCCCTCCCCACACAATATGTCAGTCTTGGACCTGACCTGCTGTCTGGAGAAAGCTTCCAAATATGATGACATCAAGAAGATAGTGAAGCAGGCATCAAAGTGTCCCCTAAAGGGTATCCTGGGCTACACTGAAGAGCACCTTGTCTGCTGACTTGAGCAGTAGCACCACTCTTCCACTTGTGATGTTGAGCGCATTGTTCTCAATGACCACTTTGTCAAACTCATTTCCCGGTGTGACAGTGGATTTGGCTACAGCAACAGGGTGGTAGACCATATGGTCCACATGCCCCCCAAGGAATAAGAGCCCCTTGAAAGACCAGCTCAAGCAATAGCACTGGAGGAAGAGAAAGGCCTTCAGCTTCTGGGAAGTCCCTGCTCCAACTCAGTCCCCCAACACTGAGAATCTCCCATCATTGACAGTTTGCATCTCAGACCTGAAGAAGGAGAGAAGCTTAGAGAGCCCAACCTTGTTGTGTACCATCAATCAAGTACACTTACTCAGCCCCTCTCCCCCTCAAAAATTAGGAGAAACAAGAGACAGACTTCGTAGGGAAGAAAGATGGTTCCGTATCAAAAGAATACCCTGCAGCCTTGCTTTTCCCAGGAAGGTTCCCCAGCCTTCCCTCTCTACCCTACATAAATCAAGTGCTGTTTGTTGTTGTTATGTGCCATCAAGTCGGACCGACTCATAGCGACCCCTCCTTGGGTTTCCAAGGCAGTATCACTACGGAAGTAGATTGCCCCATCTTCCTTCCGAGGAGTGGCTAGTGGGTTTGAACCGCCAGCCTTCTGGTTAGCAGTCAAGTGCCTTAGGCACTATGCTACCAGAGCTCCCCATAAATCAAGTAGAAGTTTCAAATTATTTATTCATTCAACAACCATTTCATAGAGGAAATGTACATAGCCCAATAACAAATATTTCATAGAGAAATGGATGTATTATTCCAACCCACCATGCCCCAAACTTTCTCTGGCTCATTTGATCTGTCGCCACTCCAGGGGACGTTTAAAAGTGCTACATAAACCTGCCATGGGGCTGGAAAGGAGAAGGGGCAAAATGGTTTGGGAAGAGAAGAGCTGCTGGGAACTGAAGGACGGGGATTCCCTCCAAAGCGAGGGCCAAGAGGAAGGACCCTGCATCAGGACAGAGTTCATTTCGTCCTCTAGGGGTCAGACATCCCTTCTGAGGAAAGCAAAATTGACCACCTCAAACTCAGCAGATGCACCCTGCTCCTAGCTTTGCTGGTCTCCTAGGTTAGTTGCTCTTCTCCTAGTTTAGCTGCTCTTTGGCCTGCCTCTGCAGTCTGATGCCTGGAAGCCTTGAGGGAAGGCAGAACTGTTGGGGGGAACTGCTTGGCATCCAGCTTGTCTTTGTACTGTAGCTCAGGGGTAACCAGGCGCTCACACTCCTCCTGGTCTTGGGAGCTCAGTCCACTCCGAAGTATATAGCCCAAAACCTTCGCTGACCCAAACTGGAAGGGGCGGAACCGCCGGTCAGTGATGTACTTGGGGTCAAGAGCCTCTCCCCCAACCAAACAGTGTTTGGCCAGGGCCTCTCGCCGGGCCCGGAGCTCTGCCACAGCACTCTGCAGCCGGCTCCGGCCATATTGCTCTATTCGTGTCCACAGACTGCGGTTGAAGTGAACATAGAGAGCCCAGTCCAGGTTGTTCCAGGCACGGGCTCGTGCAGCCAGCTGCTGCTGCTCTTCAGTCCGTCTCCCTTCCCTGACAGCACCGAGGCCTCCTCGCTCGCCGCCAGCCTGGGCATTGTGAATGAAACCCACCACATCATCTAGACCCCAACACAGGGCATCTGCCAGCAAGACCAATGACTCATCAAAGTACTCAGCCACTAAAACCAGGTCAAAGACAGAGTCTAGCCAGGCCAGACCCCACTGGATGAAGGACGAAGACCCTGAATCTACAGAGGCAGGGCTGGATAGCTGGCTGTGACCATCTGCAACAGTAGGAGCAGGATGGAAAAGAGCGTTGGGATCCAGGATGTGGGCTTGAGGGCCAGCACCAGAAGGCAGGACATGCAGCTGTGGAGGGATGGGGTCTCTGGCGGGATGAGGATTCTTTCTCTTGGTCCTCATCTCTGGGGGGAAGGGAAGGCCAAAGTCAAACCATAGCAAGTTGCGGGCATAGTGGTCCCCACGAGCCCCAAGCCTGTAGAAGGCTCGAGGATTGGCCAAGAAGGCAGCCAACGAGGGGGCCTTGCGGAAGGCTGATGAGGTGGATTTATAATAGGAGAAAGCAGAGTGGGCCAGAGCTGCTGGGTCTCGGACAATGGAAAAGAAGAAGCTGTCAGAAGGCATGACCTGAAGTACCTGCAAAGGAGAGAGCAGACAGAGAAAGAACTGGGTCAAGGAGAAACATCACAGGCCATGTGCCCACGGATCCCCCAGCCTCCTCAAACCTCCTTCTGATGGTTCTGCAGGGACTGCACACACACGCAGTCCCTCACTAACTGTGCGAGCTTTGACAAGCTACTTACCATCTCTGAGGCACCATTTGCTTACCTGCACAATGGGCATAAGCATACTTTCCTTCCCAAGTGGTTGCAAAAATTACACAGATAAAGGATGTGAAGGAGCTGGGGTATCATTCCCTCCAGGTGAACATTTGTTTCCTTGGGCCTTTCTTTCTGTCTTGGACAGGAAAACCTCTAGAACCAAACTCTGTATTCATTTCTCCAACAAAAACCTATTAAGTGTCTACCGTGGAATTCTTGGTTACATCTCCAAGAAAGGAACTGGCCTCAGGCCTCTTCAAGGGGTCACTGGCAGCAAAAAAAAAAAAAAAAGAAGAAGAAGAAGAGGAAGAAGAAGGAGGTGACAATAATGCTATCGTGGGTCCAAGCCTCAGATGGGCAGGCTAGGCACAAGATGGCTGAAAGTGGGCATCTTGGAGAGTAAGAGACACCACTGGAATGGGGCTCTGGGGTGCCATGGCCACTTGGTAGGAGACTTCCTGAAAGATGGGACACGTTATCACACTTCTTAGTAAGAAGGAAAGTGGGAATAGGGCTGAACCACGTCCTAACGTGGTCCTGCAGGTGGATCCATGTCAGAACATCGTTCCTGAGGAGTGTCTGCCTCTGCAAATGAAACCTGTCATTGAACCTGACCTCCCCTCTTCATGGTATCACTCAGTCTGTTCCGCTGACATGGATAACCCTGCAGGCAAAGCTGTGAACTCTGTGTCTCTTTGAAGGCAGAGGACAACAATGCAGACAACAATCTTTGGCATTAAATAGACCTGGAATAAAATTCCAACTCTGTGTCCTTTTGAGCAGGTTACTGAACTTTTCAGAGCCTTTGTTTCTCTATCTATAAATCTGGATTAACACTTACCTTGAAGAATGAGAAAGGGCATGAAACATGGTAGGTATTCAATGACTAGTGGGGCCCGTGAAGGCCATTATCTTAGTCTGTAGAGAAACAACTTCAAAGGTCATTTTCTTCGATTCTCTCTCCATGGCCCCTTGTTGCCCATTAGATCACACCCATGCTCTTCAGTCATCACACCGATTCCTTTCTCCAGCTCCAGCTCCAACAAGGGTGTCTTTGCAGCTCCCACTTAACTCGTTCTACTGCTAACCTACCTTTTCCCTCCCTTGTGACACATACATGCCCTGCCTTGTCCTTGCTGATTCTTGGCCTGACTTGCTCCTTATTGCAGAATCCTACCTACCTTTAAAACTCACCTTCACGGCCCGAATCCACCCAGAAGCACCTCAGAAAAAAGCCCTAGTGATCTACGTCAGAAACTTGAAAAAATCAGCCATTGAAAACCCTACAGAGCACAGTTCTTCTGTGGCATGCATGCAGTTGGTACAAGTTGGAGTCAACTGGACAACAACTGGGCAATGGGGACAATTGAAAAGATAGTAGAACCATAAGATACAGGCATACCTTGGAGATAATTGCAGGGTTTGGTTCCAGACCATTGCAATGAAGTGAATAGTGCAATAAAGTGAGTCACACAAGGCTTTTGTTTTCCCAAAAGGGCATATAAAAATTAGATTTACACAACCCTGTAGTTTATACCCAACTCATAGCGACCCCACCTTTGGTTTCCGAGGTGGTATCACTGCAGAAGTAGATTGCCCAACCTTCCTTCCAAGAAGTGGCTGGTGGTTTGAACCGCCAGCCTTCTGGTTAGCAGTCAAATGTCTTAGGGACTACACCACCAGAGGTCCTATGTGTGTGGTAATATTGTAAGTTTGAAATATTGTGAGGATTACCAAAATGGGACATAGAGACACGAAATGAATACATGCTGCTGGAAAAATGGCACCAGCAGACTTGTCTGATGCAAGGTTGCCACAAACCTTCAATTTGTAAAAACCAACCAACCAACCAACCGCCATATCTGCGAGACACCATAAAATGAAGCGCCATAAAATGAGGTGTGCCTGCAAATCCTCGAGTCACTATTGGAAGTAAATGCTTCACAGGAGCAGCATGACTTGTATTGCACAGTGGTGTGGACTAGAAAACCTACCTCTCCAGAAAAGCATGTCTCTTTTACCGAATGTTCCACCCCTTACTCCACACACACACACACACACACACACACACACCTGCTCAGTACTGTGATGACATAATGGAAAGAGCTTTGACTCTGGAGATAGACTTGGGTTCAAATTCTAGCTCTGCCACTTTCTGTTAACTGAGACAAGTCATTGACTTCTCTGAGACTCAATCCTGCCTTCCTTGTAAGGTGATGGTGAGATTAGTACCCAGCCCTCAGGAAGTGTTCAGTGAAGGTTAGTTCCTTCCCTATGTGTTTTCATTTGCAAGCTGATTTTTTTTCTCTACAAGTGCTCTCAGGTTCCTGTGTGTGTGTATGTGAATACATACATTCATTTCCCCCATCAGAATTGAGGTTCCTGGGGGAGGGGGTGGTCAGGGGAGCTCTGGTGGTGCAGTGGTAATAAACAGTTGGCTGCTAACCAAAAGGTCAGTGGTTTGAACCCATTAGTCACCCTGTGGGAGAAAGGTGTGGCAGTCTGCATCCGTAAAGATTCACAGCCTTGGAAATCCTATGTGGTAGTTCTAGTCTGTCCTACAGGGTGGCTGTGAGTTAGAAATGACTCAGTGGCAACAGGCTGGTCCGTTTGCTTTTGTGGGGGGGGGGAGTGGTCAGGACTGGGTCTCTGCCCAACTATTTTGCTGGGCCCAGTCTAGGGCTTAGTGTATAGCTAATCTTCAAAATATGGCAGACATGGTGGGAGCGCTGGTGGCATAGTGCCTAAGGCATATGACTGCTAACTAGAAGTCTGGTGGTTCAAACCCACCAGCCACTCCTCGGAAGGAAGATTGGACAATCTACTTCCATAGAGATACTGCCTCAGAAATTCAAGGAGGGGTCACTATGAGTCAAATCAACTCAACAGCAGTGAGTGAGCTTTTTTTTTTTTTTTTTCCCTGTGAGAGAAGCAGGAGGAAGACAAGTTGGAAGGTAGTGCTGAGCTGGGCTCCTGGGGATGACAGTGGAAGGGACCAAAAAAGGCAAGGGGCACCTGGATGGAGAGCTTGGGGGTGTCAGGGTTGATGGGGGGATACACTGACATCAGGGAATACATTGTCGTGGAGTGCATTCCAGATGGGAGCATGCAGGAGTTTGGCTTCCAGAACTACTGGGATAGGGATACTTGGTGAGAGAGAACAGGAAATCCCACCATCTTTGTGGCCTCCATGCCCCACTTAGTGGTGAGGTCATGCCTGGCCGGCACTCGGACTTCTGGTCCCCTCCCCCAGTAGGCTTGCCCACAAGCCTAAGCCCAATCTTTCCAGGCCCACCTATGCCCCCCGAACACCCCTCACCTCCTTCAGGTTGAACCTCATGTGGTGACAGAGGATGTGAAAGGGGTGCTGGGTGTCTCCATCCTGGGGGTGATAGTTTTTGACCCAGGAGGCCTGGAAGAGCCTCGGGTAGCCAAACTGGTAGCGGGTGGGGAGAGCAAAGTGTAGGCCTTGCCTGTCCCCATAGCGATGAAGCAGGTTCAGCACGGAGCTGCTCCCAGATTTGTGCGTCTTCAGGAACACCAGCCGCTGCCGGGGTGGACAGGACGGATGGTGGACGCTTGGGTGCCGGGATGGGGCCCAGGGCTGTTGAAGTCGGAGCCCAACTCCAGGTAACCTGTACAGAGACAGGTGGGGAAGTGCCCCATTCCTCACCATCAGGGGGGTGGGTTCCTTAAGGAGAAGCCTCCCCTGTCTTGCCCCCGTGTCCCCAAGAGTCCCAGCCCCAGGTGGGACACAGACCCGCCATTGCAGGTTGGATGAGGTGGAGACTCACCTCCTCTGGAAGGGGCCCCCCCAGAGCTGTAGGGCGAATCCGATGGTCATGAAGACCCCCAGAGCCACGCCCAGGCTCCGAGGCCCCCAGAGCCAGAGTCGCATTGTCCTGGCAGGAGACGGAGGACTCATGTGGCCCAAGTGATGGTAGAGAGGAACAGGACGAGGAACCAAGGCAGAGACGGCCTGGGACAGCCACGTAGCCACGGGAGGCGAGGTTTGCAGATCGGGGGGTCATTCCCCAGGCCGGCTCACAGCCTGAGCTGGCAGCAGATTTTTGCCTCTGTCAGCGTCTAGAAGGGAAATGAGGGGGAAAGAGACGAGTGCAAGGAGACGGGTGGAGAGCTCTGTCCCCCAAGCAGCTGAAGCAGAATTCAGGGAGGGGGAGCCGGGGAGCTGTGGCGGCCCCACTCGGGGAGAGGGTGGGGCCGTCAACTTCTGTCTCAAATTCCCCACTCTCCCACCTTCAGTTTCTCCCTGAGCCTCAGGGATTCAGACAGGATGGGGAGAAAAAACAAAGAGTCCTGATCAGGAATAAAACGGCTAATGACAGAGAGCACAACACAGCAGATGACAGGACAGTGAGGCAGGCAGCGGTCGCATGATGATGCCAGCCTTGTGGCTTCCTCCGGAGGCCCTTGAGCTGTGATAAATGGGGACGAAGAGCCCCATTTAGAGGCTAGGAGGGGAAGCCCCACGGAGGGCCTGAGGATCAGACAGGGTTGCTGAGTCAGAATGATGACTCAATGGCAGCGGGTTTGATTTTGGGAGTTTGGGTAGCAGGGATGCAAGTCAGGTGACGGGAGACTTTCTAAGGAAGAGAAAGGGTCAGCCTTCTCGTTGCAAACTCCGGCATCTCTCCCGCCTAGAGAGTTCCCAGAGCAAGGACACTCTGGTGTGTGAGAGGCTGCGGGTGACATGGGGTGACTTAGGAAGCTCAGAGCTCTGTGTACCACCCACCCCACTTTCCAGCCCCATCAGCGCAACCAGAAGAGATTGAGAGGGTGGGGCTGCAGAGAAGGAGGCTGACTCTAAGACGCAGAGATACTGACAGAAAAAGATGAAAACACCAAGCTCCGAACTCCCTCTCAGGCCCGAGTTTCCTAATCTCGGGGAATCCAGCCCCACCCCCACTGATTACAACCTACAGTTCCAGGCCTGGCCCTTCAACAAAACCTGACAGCCTCCTTCCCGGGTGAGCAAGGAGTGACCCCAGACAGAGAGAACTCACATTTGCAACCCGGCCCCCGCTGCCCTCCCACATCAACTCCCCATTCCCTCCCGCAACCACAGCCCTTGGGATCCAGCCCCTGGCTGGACTCTGCCCAGATTTCCCCGTTTCCTTTCGTCTGGCTCTGTCTTCCCACTCGCCCCATCCCAGCTCTCAGTCCCCTCCAGCTTTGGTGAGTGCCTAGCCTGTCGCCAGCCCTTTGTCGGCCCCTCCAGGGCTCTCTCTATGAACCTCGGAATCTCCCCGCAGACACCCTAGTGGCTCTGCCAGGCACAGCCTCGGCCTCACTTGCCCACTCACCAGGCCACATGGGGAGCAGCGGGGAAACCGAGGTCGATCCTCCCGCCCTTCCCAGCCACCTCCTGGCTCCTCCTGGCTCCGCTCAACTTTCTCCAAACTTTCTCCGCGGCGCAGGCTCCTCCCTTCCCCCTCCTTTTGTCCCGCCAGTCCCAGCAACTGCTTCTGCTTTAATCATTTGTGTTCGTTCCTCCCGCCCTCCCTCCTTCCCGCCCGCATCGCTCCCTCTCCTTCAGGGCACCCCAGTCTGCCCTCAGAAGACACCACCTGCACCCTGCTTTCGCACTCAGGAATCAATTACACCTTTTTCTCTCAGCTTCCTACAGAACAAAAGGCTCATTCAGGTGACCAAAAGATAGTGACTGACAAGAGATGAAAGCAGGCGCTGTCAGGAAGGTGACGGGTAGCCAGACATCGACACAGAGAGCGAGCAAAGGGCCCCTCTACTGACGGCAGAGGGCAGTGGGTGGTAATACTCATAAAGCCTCCTGTTGGAGAATTTTATGAGTGACAAGAAATTTCTTCAAACAGGTCCTATTTGGTCCCCACTTTACAGATGGAGACACTGAGGCCCCGGAGGGTGACAACTTGCCCAAACTCAGTCCTAAGGGACAGGTATCAAGACAAGCAACAAACAGGAGTACACTGAGACAAAGTCAGGGTTCAGGGAGGACCACTGGGCTGAGGCACAGAGAGCCACACACACGGGGTTCAATAAATTAACCATTTATTTGCTGAATAAACACTGAGTCAAACACTGAAACATGAGACAGGGAAGTGCGGGAAGGATGTGGATGGCAGAGCTCATAGGATGAGCCTTTAATTTTTTTTTTTTTTGTACTTTAAGAAATTGATACTGAAAAAAGTCAACAGAAGTCAGGCCCACAGTTCCTGACATCTTACTCACCCCCCCAGACCCCTCCCTTGCACCCCATCAGCACCCAGCTCTACAGTTCAGGTATCAGGTACCCCCACCCCGTTTGAGTTCCACCCCTCCCCACTTCCATTTCATTCTTTCAAACCCCACCCTCAGTTCCAACTCTAAAAATCCTCCTTTTCTTCTTTGTTGGCTCTGACCACCAGCCCAAGGCTTAGGGGCATGGAGACCACACCTCTTCTCCTAAATAAATACTTGTTACCAAATGGGAAAAACAACAACAAAAAAGTGAACACCCACTTCCCAACCCACCAATGGGAATCTCCTGGCTCTGGGGCCCCAGCCATTCACCGACAATCTCTACCCTCTCCGTGCCCTTCGACTCCTCCCCAGACCCAGTGGAGAGGGGAGGAGGGGAAAGGGCCGTGAACCCTTCTGATGCTAGGGCACCCCTCCCCTGTTATCGAGGTCCAAGCAGGGCCAGGGCTGAGAGGAAGAGGATGAGGATGGGGTGGGTGTGAAAACCAACAGGCGCCCCCCCACCCCTGCTCCTGCCCTGGTTGTGGCGGGAACCACCACCTCCTCCTTTGCCCCCAGGGCTGTCCCTTCGAGGAGGACGAGGAGGCCGGGCTGGGGGGGCCACGGCCGCCGTCCCAGCCATCCAGTCATCGGCATAGTGCTGGCCCCCTCCAGAGCCGCTGGCATCCTCATCTGTAAGAAGGGAAAGGGCCAAGGCCAGGCGGGCAGGAAAGAGATAGGGGGATACAGAGAGAGACACAGCAGGGAGGAAGAGAAAACCAGATAAAGACACCCAGAAGGAAAGCACCACACAAGGACATAGAGGCGGGTGGTGGAGGTTGGAAGACAGAGACAGGGTCAAAGAGAGGGAGGGCAGGTGAGTGGGAGGGGAGGACGAAGACAGAAGAAACCGGCAGGTGAGTGGGAGGGGAGGACGAAGACAGAAGAAACCAGATACGCACAGAAATGAGAAAAGGAGATACCGAGACAGAGACAGCAAGAGAGACAAACGGATGGGGAGAGAGGATGAACAGGAAAAGACAGAAAACACACACAAAAGCAGAAAGCAGACAGGTCAGGGAGGGAGACAGGCAGACAGAAGAAAGAAGAGAGTAAAAATGTGAATACCTGTGCCTTGCTTCTCTGTGTGGTGAACCCCCTCCACCTTCCCCACCTCGTCCATGTTGCCCACCCTCCCCATTCTCCCTCAGTCCTTTCTATCCATTATAAGTAGCTTCCCTACTGGGTCGTAACGCAAGCATAGAGACCCTCTCATTGGCCATGTACTCTCTGACCCTTAAGCGCTCAATTAAGGTTTGTTAAATAAATGTGTGAGATAGTGAGTGAATCAATGACGTTTGAGAGTTCAGAGAAGCCCGCCTGGGAACTGCGAGCGGAGGGGAGGGGCTTAAAAGGCAGTGGGCGGGGCTCAGGGCGGGGTTGGCCCAGCCCAACCCCTTGGGATCTGCTCAGAGCTCTGGGTGCGTCCTGGCGTCTCACCCGTGTCCTGCAGGTCCAGGTCATGTCCGAGGGCGGCCGCCCTCATCCTGGCCGTGGCCGCCCGGAGCTGCAGCCGCCGCCTGCGTGTCGGGAGGTCGGGTCCCGAGACGTCTACCTCCAGCTCTGGGTTGTTGAGCTGTTCCGCCAGGGAGCTCCCGACGATGGGTGGCAGGTACCTGCGCGCCCAGCACAGACCCGATGGCTCCCGCGCGGCTCGCCCTCCCCCGGAGGCAGCACCGCCGCCCTGCCGCCCGCACCGCTCTCACCGGCCTCGTCCTGCTCCGGTCCAGCAGGGGGCCGCCTCCTGCGAGATGTCCGCCGCCATGCGGGGGTCCCCGCACACCATCAGGGGCAGCCCGGCCCAGAAGCCCCTCACCCGGCCCAGCCGCTCGCGAAGCTCCCACACCTGGGGGTGCGAGAGAGGGGCGGGCGGGAGGTGAGCGCTGGGCCCCCGCGCTGCGCGCCCTGCCTGCCAGCCCTCACTCACCAGCCGGGGCAGGTTGGTGCCTGCCGCCGTGGTGGGTCGCTCCTCCTCGGCCGCCAACGTCCAGAGCCGGCCCGCCTCTTCCCGGGGAGCTGGAGCTCGGCGGGTGCGAGCCGGCGCCGGGTAGGGGCCCCCGCATCCCTGAAATACCTGCGGCACGGGGAACGAGGGGCACATTTCAGGCTGGTCTCTGCCCTATCTGCCTCTCTCATTTGGACTGAACCTCCTCCTACTCTTTAATCCTTGAGGTGAAAGCCCCTCAGTGTCCCCACTCCAAAACCCCAGTGTCCTCTAACACCCTGCAGTCTCTTCTGGAAGCCCTGTCTCTCCAGATACCCTACACTGCCTCCCTAACACCCCCACACTGTCCCCCCACCTCCCCAGGCTCTCACCTCTACCTTTCTCTCCAGGTACCTGGGCTGACCTCCCATTCTGCCCCCTCACCTCCACCCTCCTCTCCCCTGCACCTGGGCTGACACCCCCACCCTCCTTTCACCTGCACCTGGGCTGACACCCCCACCCTCCTCTCCCCTGCACCTGGGCTGAC